CACAGGCAGGGCTGTACAGTGCGACATATATGTCGCACGTGCTACGAGAAAACTGGTCTGCGATGAATAAATTTACCGCTGTAGCACGCGTGCGATACAGTTTTAGTATATTCGAATTAAGATAGAAGTTTAAATTACTGTATTGATTATTTTTGATCAAATAAATGCAGCCTTGGTAAGCATAAGAAACTTATTCTTATCAATCCCACCTTTTGAGTGGTAGTTTCTAATTGCCCATTGTTTAGGGTTTATTTTAAGATGATGTCAAAAGGCTGAAAAATACTAAAAACTACTGCTCCACTTTTCTATTAGACAGTCCACTTTGGCTGACATCTCTTAGAAATACCACCCTCTCATACCTACAAATCAGAGGTTTAGTCCTGCGCTGCAACAAATCTAATCAAATCTTTTAGTGATCCCGCAGGAATGCAGACCTCTACTGTCAAGTCCTGCGCCATTAGTGAGAATCTCGGGGTCCATTCTAGCTTAGTGATCTAATTTCCTTTGTTCGTCGGTTCTTTCAGCTCTTCAAATACCCCCTGGAGAAAGAGGGGCAGGTGGGCGGCCCTATTCTAGCTCAGGAAGAGATCAAGACCATTTTTGGCAGTATTCCAGACATCTATGAAGTGCACACGAGAATAAAGGTAGGCACTAACCTTTCCAAAACGCTGAGTAAAGGCTGTGCTGCACATATTAGCTGATGAATGTGCTTTGACAGGCGGATCTTGAGGAGTTGGTGATGAACTGGTCTGAAGAGAGGAGCGTTGGAGACATTATCCTGAAATATGTGAGTGTGATGAAGCTTTGAACTCGACCTCTTCCGGCATGAAGTTCACAATGCTGTCAAAGAATGAATGACCGCTTTTGTGGTCTCTTTATTTTAAACATTCTCTTTCAGTCTAGAGAGTTGGTGAAGGCCTACCCACCATTTGTCAACTTCTTTGAGATGAGCAAAGAGACCATAGTCAGATGTGAGAGACAGAATCCGAGGTTTCATGCGTTCCTGAAGGTACTGTCGACTCTTTTTAGTGTATATAAAGACATCTGTATTATATAGAGACTGATATATTGTTGAAGTAATATAAAAGTTGAAGTAAAAGAAGTCTGACCTCAGGGTGTCTATTTTCTTTTCTCCAATATATTTAGAGTGCTAATAGAAAAAATAGTCAAAATCTGATGAATCACTAGTATAAATTTGAGTTGGTTTGTATGGACATTTTTCGTGAAGACCATTTATTTGCATGTTTTCTCTCATTTTGTTATCCAGATTAATCAGGCTAAACCCGAGTGTGGCCGTCAGACTCTTGTTGAACTTTTGATTCGTCCTGTGCAGAGACTGCCAAGTGTTGCCCTCTTGCTGAACGGTAATACATAAATACGACTGTTAGTTTGATTCAGGTAATGGGTTCAAGCTGTTTCTATTCAGTAAATCTGTCTGAATCCTGATTATTTAAATATTTTAAAAAGATACCGTGGAGGTGGTTCGATTCACTTTCATAAATGAATCCATTACATGAAAAAAATATGTTTGTAATAAACTTGGTCAACTTTAGAGAACATGCAAACGCATTTTATTTTAGCAGGTGTGTTATGTTTCATCTCTGTATGCTGACGTAAGAAAGATTTATAGTGAATTTTGTTCTTTGTAGATATAAAGAAACATACATCAGATGACAACCCAGATAAAGTGACCCTGGAAAAGGCCATCGAGTCTCTCAAGGAAGTGATGACGTAAGTTCCGCAGTTAACCCCTAATTTTTTTTCTCAAAATAAACTAGTAATGCAATGAAATTTTGGCATTCAAAAATATTCAGCAAAAATTTATTTTCAGTGTCAACCGAAACTGCTTTGGAGGGTTGAAATAATTTACTAAAATGGTAACTTTTAGCCAAAGATGTCTTTACTATTCTCTCTCTGTCTTAATTTTCACAGCCACATAAATGAGGATAAAAGGAAAACAGAGGGACAGAAGCAGATTTTTGATGTTGTTTATGAAGTGGACGGCTGCCCTGTGAGTAATTTTTTACTTTTCTGCAAACATCGTACATTTACACACATCTCAGTTGAGTTCAAAGAAATAAATCACCCACAATTCTGTCATTTACGTGCCTTCATATAAGTAGTGCTATATTCCAAGTCTTTAAGTCAACAGATCGCAATGGAAGATGATATATTCTGAAAGTCGTCACCCTCTGTCGCAGCTCTCAAATAACTTCCCACATTTTCTTTGTCCCAACCAAAAGAACTTACCATATTGTGACCCATGGGATTTTTTCTCGCACTTTTGAAATAAGAGTATGCTGTAAGCATACTTCAACATTCACCAAGCAAATCTCCCCTGCCAGTCCACCCAGACCATGAAGGCTAAGCTATGAAAACAGGTCGTTCAGAAATCATCACGGTCAGAACCATGACACATGACTGTCCGTTTACATCCCAACACCTATTTATTATTCAACAATTTAAAACTGAGGATAGCCAATCATAGCAGAGGACACTGACATATAGATGTTAAAGGTACATTTCTAATTTTAAAGCTACAGTAGCAGAAACGGGCAGAACTGTTTATGTGAAACTTATCTTTATGGTGCTAGAAACCTTGACTAACATTGTAAGTGGACTTCAAGAACTAAATAAAATGCTAACAAATGTTTAGAATATGGCTATTTTAAAGTGCCCCTATTATGGGTTTTTGAAAATTACCTTTCATGCAGTGTGTAACATAATGAAAACATCCTGCAAAGTTTTAAATCTGAAAGTGCACCGTGTATAAAGTTATTGTCTCTCAAAAGAAAGAGTCGACTCTGAATCGTTGAAACGGGTCGTTTTTTTAAACGAATCCCAAGCGTTTCATGTTGACGTCAACATGAAACATTGGCATATTGCCCACCCACTTGATGGTCTTTTCTGGTTGGCCTGAATGAAAATGCAAATTCATTCTTTGCCACTAGGTGCCGCTTTTGGAGCCGTAAAATAGCAGTTTCCCCGGTAACGCTGTACACAAAGCAGCTCTGCGCTCACAAACTGAACCTTTCCTTACCCATAATAGGGGCACTTTAATTAACAGTAAATGGTAAAGTGTGACACTGGGTTGTGCTGGCTGCTGTTCATCTTCTCCCTGCGGTGAGAGATGCAGTCATGCTGTCTGAAACTTTCTCTCAATACTAAATGGATCAGCTCATGTTTTCTCCTGTCATACTCGCCCCAGAACAGCTGCGTCTAGAGACAGGGCTGCCACACCAATGATTGCCCGCAGATGGGAGTGCTTTTCCTGGATCAGTTTGGCTTTTGTAGTTCATGGGAACTGAAGCAGCATGGACATGACCGAGTCTGATCCAGGAACAGCATTCTGAGGAATCTGCAGGAAATGCTGCATGTTTATCCGGCGCTCTTGAGTGGTTGAACAAAATTCTGCACACCAGTAACATAATTAATTAGCTGAAAAGGTTGCAAATGTTTTGCAAATTGGAAAAAATTGTTGGTATGTTTGTGTGCACCTGCAGGCCAATCTGTTGTCGTCACATCGGAGTCTGGTTCACAGGGTGGAGACCATCGCTCTGGGAGACAAACCTTGCGATCGGGGAGAACATGTCACACTCTTCCTGTTTAACGACTGTTTGGAGGTAAAGCTCTGTCTTTCCATGTCACTGCACCATTACTGCTCTTCTCACTGTGTTGATGGAAATACTACAGATGGGCAGACCCCCCACACCCCCTTTTCTTCATAATGCAAATGCTGCATCAGGTTCCCCAAACAGTGCCACTATATGAAAGACATTAATCTTTGGTCTTGCTTATGGTATTAGATTAATGAAAGATTAATGAAATGTGTAAAAAAAAATAAAAAAAATAACGATGCATGTATTCAATAAATCTATGAACATTTTTGAATATTACCTTTCTGAGAGACTAGCAAATGCATTTGAACTAGATTTCAAAATTTTAGGGAGTTTCCCCATTTTTTTTTTTTCTTCTTTCTTTCTTTTTCTTGAACATCTTTGTCATAGACTTGAGTGGACATCTCTTTTTGGTCTTCCCTCACCTCTGTCTCCTCGGTTTAACCATCAGCTCGTCCCTAAATTTCTTTCCGATTTCTAATCCAAATTATCAGCAACCGCAACAATTGTTTGTTCAGTTCACGGGTGAGCGGTACCACTAAAAAAAAAAAAAGTTAATAATTTATGCGTGTACAATCTGTGCTTGCTGACTCGACTCTGGCCTGTTTCCCTAATTAGTGAGGGGATGCATTTAAGCACTGTGGAGGGGTTGCTGGCGTGCTGGTGCACGGCTGTGGTCCTCTTTGACCAATACTTGCTCTGGCTCTGGCCTGGTAATGAGAGCAGGGAGAAGGGAAGACTCTGAGTGATCAATTATTCATTTTAGGAAGTCCTCTGTATGCGTATCTGTCACCCCAATCTGCATTACACATTTCGGCTTCACTAAAGAACGTGAAGGACTCCCAACTGTTCCACCCGAGAACAGGAGAGGACATTTTACATTCCTGCATTATGAAGAAAGCTGCATGTATTAAGAGTTTAGTGTGTGTGTGTGCTTTTTCCTTCTGCATCTTCATATTCAGATTGCCAGGAAGAGACACAAGGTCATAACCACTTTCCGGAGTCCATTGGGTCAGACGCGGCCACCCGCCCAGCTCAAGCACATAGCCCTGATGCCTCTGTCCCAGATCAGAAGAGTCCTTGACATCCAAGACACAGAAGGTGAGGGTACCACACGGCATTCTGCATCCCACCAAGTGCACTCGTGCATATTTTAGTTTTCTGTGTTCTGAATTAGTACCCTGGAGAGGGAGGTGAAGTCTGGTTATGTGTAAAGTGTGTCACTTCACTATAGCGCTGGCCAGGATACAGTGCAAGGAATTACAACAGAATTGTAACCGTAAAATATGGTAAAAACCTGTTAATTGGTTAACGAGAAGTTCCCTTGCCATAAAAAAATAAAATATATATATATATGTATAATGTTTTTTTTCTTTTCGAAATTGAGATTTAAATAAGCTTTCCATTGATGTATAAATTTTTAATGATTAATGAAAAATTGTAAAAATTTGTAATGATTTTTTGTGATTAATCGCATTATGCACAAAATTCAATAATAAATTCAAAAGTAGTGTATTGTGCACACCCCTGTGTGTGTGTGTGTATTAGGGATATGCATCTCATGACTCAGGCCGATACGATACGCATATCGATGCATAGCCAACGATACGATACATTAAAGATACATATGAAGCCGCTACCGATGCGATACAATTCACCCCTATTACGATGCAGTGCGATACGATTTCGATTCGATGCAATGGGAAAAAATATGATCACTTTTAATGCCTCAAGGCCTGTTTCATAAAACAAGTTTACCAAACTTAGTAATTAGTACTTGGTAATTAGAACTAGCTTACATATAATTTACCCATTACAATAGTTCCTTTACAGTTACTGCTATCATAAAAATACACTTATATGAAGGTTTAAAATTCTACAAAAGGCACATTTAATGTCCGACAACAAATATTTTAGCAAAATGTATATTTTACTGCTCTCCTATTCGATTGCGCGCCGTCTGTTTAGCGTGCATGCGTGCAGCAGCACTCGTTCACTCGCGTAAGCCTCGCCCACTCCTGACAGCAAAATGGATATATTTGCATGACTTTCTAACATTTACAGATGAAAAATATACCTGTGACATGTCAGTTATGCACTGAGGAAAACACAACATCTCAAA